TCTCTCTCTCTCTCTCTCTCTCTCTCTCTCTCTCTCACACACACACACACACACACACACACACACACACACACACCCCTTTGCTGAACTAAAACTATTGCTTTCCATAAAATTTTCTTTCAAACTTTATTTTAGAAAAAATAAGCATGTATAAGCAGAATGAAACTATATGTACCCCTTATCTATATTGAGTGGTAGTTCAAGTGTTCTGCACCTGTTTGAAGAACTTCATCTACAGTTCTAGGTCCTTAGCCACAACACTCAGCTGTTAGATGCTTTGAGCTTAATAGGGAATTAAGAATTGGGAAAAGAACAGAAAACAGGGGGCAAGTTCTGGAGACAGGAATGGTTGTTTAAGTAATCCACGTGCTGCTCAATGTTGATAATTGGATTAAGGCTTCAGAGATAGAATAACTGATTCAATTTCCTATGACTTTGCATTCTCAGAAGAAAGGATTGACATAATACATATGGATGCTGACAATTTCACAGTTTCTTGGTTTTTTTTGTTTTTTTGTTTTTTTGTTTGTTTTTTTTTTTTTTTTGCATCTGCCTGAAGACATTGTTGCTACCTAGGCGAGAAGAGGAGTTATGTACACAAAAAGATAAGCAATAATGGAATTCTTAGGCTCTGGCCTTTGTTTAACAAGAATGTCAGTAATTTATTTTCCCCCTCAAGCAAAATAAAATGACTTCAAATGTCTAAATCCCCAAATTTCCACCAGATAACAGATGAAGAGGTCATAAATAGATTGGTCACTCTGGTTGGTACCTTGAAGGTGTGGCATTCTTAACAGGTATACAAATATATGTATACCCACATTTATGCATATACATGTAATATGTAAAATTCATAATATATACATACAATCATACACAGCTACCGTATTAAAATGGAAATAGGAGTTTTCTCTGAAACTGGAAAGCTACTTCAAAATTCTGTTACTGAGTTATCTTAATCTTTATTGAGTAGTTACCTTGATGCTTCAATACGGTACCAATGTGAATCATCAATAGTCAAATCTGGATATTCCACACGCCCAACTCCAGATCCAACATCCCAGAGGAAACTTACTTTGCCTTTACGCATTTCTATAGCCAGAAAGTCAATCTGGTTTGGAGAAATACAAGAACAGTAGATTATTAGATGTAAAGCCCTTTGAAAGAGGAGGACCTCAGAGTACTTTTTCACAGGTGTCATATAGAGATATGTAAAATAATTGGATTCAGAATTCATTATTGTTTTCACCAATGACACTGACATTTTTGAGGTGCAGCTATGATTTTTTTTTTTATTTACCCAAAGTGATCCAAAGTTCCTCATCTGAAATGGCAAATATTTACTTATTTCAAAACTAGTTTGCTAGAGTCTTATTCATTTTGGAAGWTCATGTAGAATCAAGTGGTTCAAATGGAAAGCATTAGAACTCTATGTGTAAGTTTTTGTAGATTCAACTTATGCCATTTCAGTTTGAGTCATAAAGTCAACATGAGTTAGAAGATTTTCATTGGTAAGAAATTAGGACATAATTTGCTATTTTAATTTTACTAATATGAACTTTCCTTGTAATTTCCCAGTTTGAAAAAAAAAAGCTTTATATCTACTAGCTCTTCTTTTTAAATAGCTAGATCTGAAAACATAATTCAAAGTAAATGCTGGCGTACTAATAGATGAAAGCAAATATGCCTAAATATTGTAAAGAATTCTCTACTTATTTGCTTTCTGACTTCACGTGACACTTCAGAACTTCGTGTGGTGAGATTCTAAAGTTTTCAAATCTGAAAGGCTGGCTACCTTAGACACTGTTGGGACCATGTTATAAATTCTGTGATTTTCCCCTAACACCAGGGTTACCCTCTGACATTACATGTACACAGTAGACTAAAAAAAGCTGAATATTAGACTTACAAATTTGGCACTTCCAAGATAAAAAAGGAGGTTGTCAGCAACGGCTGTCTTGACGTTGACAATAATATTATTGTAGCTTCCTTTCTTGATTTCCGGCTTGTATGTTCGAATGCAGTCACCTCCGGAAGACACAGATACTTTGATCTTCAAGAAAAACAAGGTACAAAGACCTTAGACTAAATCTCTCAGGAAGTTTGAAGTAACTCCCAAACAACCACAAACCCATCATCACTTTTTCTTTGAAGTTGTTTTTCAATCATCAGATAGTGTGATTAAGTGCCCATATGCAGACACCATCATGCTTACTAGTGAGGGCATAGAAGAGCAGCTCCCCACTCGCACTTTGACAATAAGCTGTTCCCAGCACCTTGGCTTGTTAGCATGCTACTAGTTTTTGAAGCATGCAACTAACAAATTCTTCCCTTCATACCTGTCTGCTTTATGAATATAGGGACATTTTCAAAAGGGGGTTTTACGAGGAGCTAATGGGAATGATCTTCATTAAGGTTGCTTAATGAAATTTTACAATTCAGGTTTCAGCAATTTGGGTATCATTTAAAGTAGAGAGCTATTTTTTCTTAGTTTTCAAGAGGAAATTACCTCCCATGCTCTTACAGTTGAAAGAGGCCAAATAAATTTTGTTCTAGATGTTATAATAATAAGAAGGATATTAATCATTCCTCTCAGAACATACATTTCAGAATAAATTATACTTTTTTTATTAAAAATGCCAAGAAATGAGATGGAAATAACTTCTAAAGGCTATCAGTACTAATGTATTTAACAGCTCCTTTTTCTTTTGAAACATACTTTAAAAATTACTATGAATTTCTAAGAAAGGAATTCCTATGTGAATAGAATGACACTGTTTGTACCAATTTTTATCTACATTCAGGGAGCCTTTCTTCAATCACAAATAACACTACCTGATTATTCGATTCCATTTCCTTTGGGTCAGGTACAAAATCACCATTGAAGGGGTGCTTTTAGGACAGCCATGTAGTTGCTTGGTCTGAGAAGTTGCAACTTGGCTGATTGATGGTGCTCATAGGAGGAGGCAGAGAAAGGGCAAGGAACACAACCTCTTTTGCCACTGGTTCCAATGCCCAGCCTCGGGGAGCCTCTGGGCCCTCACTGGTAGTGAATTTCTGATTTCTCTTTTCGTCTGGCATTTCATGCTACACATTTAGTTTTCACACTCAGAGCAAAACCAACTAGCACTGTGGTCACCCTCCTGGAAGGCTGGTGCAGACTACAAACAAAATAGCCTAGGCCACCAAGCCAGTCTCCATGGGTCTACAAGAGTTTGATTAAGGTGTGAGGGTAGGGAGCCCTGGGGCCCCTCACAAAGGGTAGGGAAGACTACACCCAGGAGGTGCTGGATACAAAATTGTCTTGTTTTAAAAGGGAACACTAAGGAGGGATTTTTGGTTTTGACAAACAGGTAAATTCATATCCATTAAAGAGTATCTGGGGTAGGGTAGAGCAGGGGTGCTGCTTTCCCACAGACATTAAATAAGTCACCTGTAATTTTATGATATGGTTGCCTCATCTGATCTGCTGACCAAAGTGCATGTCCACATAGAGGAAACTGTGTTCTGAAAAGAAGCAGGCACTGTTTCCTCCCCTACCAGGAAGAAATGAACTCGTAGAGCTCTGTGTGTGATGGCCTGTAGCTGGAACTGGAAAAATCTGTGAAGCCTACTTCTTAAACTACTGTCCTGTCCTGTCTTCCCCTCAGGATGTGGTTCAGGCTGCCAGCGGAGGAGTTCAGGACTAGGGGACCCTCTCTGGTGTTTGCTCTGTGTCCTGGACAGATTGCTTCTTGTTAGTGTGGTGTTCAGTGAGGAAGTGTGAGTTCTTTGCTTCACACGGGAATTTCCCTTCTACATATAGAGTTGAGTAGGTGAATCAAAGTGAATAACAGAAAACCCTAACCAGGAAATAATATGATTTTTACTATGGATATCAATACTATAAAGCAGATGTGCAATGGAAACGGGGCAGAACATATTATATGACAGAATAGCAGTTATGCAGAGTTCGAGATTGGAAGGATAAAGCAACACAAGAGAAAGACCATGTTGTAGAGAACAGGCAGGGAAAATGTGGTCCTCAGATATTTTTAGTGTTCAGGAAAGGGTGTAGGATGTAGTAAGTTTTTAGGAATTTGTAGCAACTGGACCAGAACCATCATAAGAGAAGACCTAGGTATTGAGCAAATTTAATATCTGAGGCAGACTTTAAGTACCAGTGATACCATAAGAGGATTAAAGAGAACAAGAAAACTAAGATCTAACTGCCATTCATGAGTAAAAGTGAAAAGAAACTGCTGTGCCTGACAGGAAATCATATCTAAATTCACAGCAGGGACAGATTAGTAAAAAGTAACTGTATATAGTTTTTTTCCCCTTTCTTCATAAATGCATTATAGGCTTAGCTATAGGGCCATATTATGACTAGTGTAATCATAAGTCATTTTTGTTTAAAGAACACAATTGAATGATACTCCTCATTTATCATTAAGGAAGAAAACACTGAATATATGTGGAATACGTGGCCACTGGGTCACAGGATGAATTTCAGGCTTTGCTTATTTATGCCTGGTAGAAATAATAGGAGATTACATGTTTGGTTAATTGAAAAGGAGTTTCCCAAGATGTAGAAGACAGAACACCGGTACTGACACCTAACTGAACTGATGAAGCTCCATCTGAGAATTCAAGTCAAGAGCATAGCCATTTTAAAACAAAAAAGTGTTTAATGTCATTAGGATTTTAAATTAATCTACTGTGCAGCATACTTTACATATCTAAAAATATAGTTCTCTGAACAAAATGGCATTGCCATACCCAAAATGCCAGCAATTAATCTTGTACACTGATCTATGGTTCAACATTCATAACAATAAACATTCACACAGAAAACCCTCTGGATTTTCTGTTTTGGTTTCTGYTTTAGAATATACCTCAGTAACTGAAAAATTTAGGCAGTGAAAACTATCAGCAACCGGTCCATAACTACTAATTTCTYCTTTCAAATACTTTGTATTTTGATTTTTAAGTATAGGTATGTGTTTTAACTAACTTAAAACTAGTGAATCAAAGTACAATATCTATACATTCATTTTGAAGAAACCTCTGGAAAAAGGGGAGAGATTTTTGAAATATGATCATTGTGTTAGGATGTTTGGCTCTATGGGCTGTTGTATTTATAATGTGTTTCCTTAGTAACACTTCTGAAAAAAAAATCGCTAAGTGTTAGATATTTCTGGGCATTTTTGATATAGCATTCTTTACCAGTTAATCATTATGAACTCAATTAAACATTATTGACTATCCCATTATTATATCTATTGAATTTTCATTGCATTTTTTCATCTAGTAACTAGGGCATTCATTTAAAAAGAGTATCATCTGCTCTATATTAAATTCAACAAATTAAAACAGAGCTGCTTTAAAAATATCTTTAATATCTTAATTAAGAAAAGTCTTTCTTAATTTCAAGATCAAATATGTGTTAGGGTCAAATCCAGACACCCATGCCAAGTTGCAAATATATTTACAAATCAGAAAATATAATCTTYAGTTCATATACAAGTCATTTGAAATACATTTGATACTTGCATTTTTCTAATATTTCACAAAAAGTTAGGCATTTTGTTGTAACTTCCACATGCAAAAGTGAAAAAAAAAAAACTTTCTTGAAAGACATGGACAATGTTTACTTATTCTAGCATTGCTTTGTACTTTTATTTCACTTTGGACTTTGGCATAGTTTATATACTCACATGTGAGAATTTTGATTTTGTGGGGAGAAGAGGCAAATCATTCATGACTGATAAATCTGTTCACTTTACCAATTATGCACTCTCTCTTGACTAAGTAGAATGCTTTTTGCATGGAGTGGTCCTGAAACTTGCTTCTCTCTCTGTCTTGGCTCAAGCCATTCCCTAGTTTCCCTTGTGTTCCTGCCCTCCCACCATCCAGCACTATCCCACTTCAAGGCCAGGCTGAAATCCTTCCCTTTGGGAAATCTTTTGAATCTCCCAGAAGTGACTTATTCTYTTTAGAATTGTGAAAGCTCTTCCCATGCATGGCTTATGTACATGGCCCAACATTTTGCATCATCTTAAAGGTTGCTTGCATTCATGTCATATTTCTTCTTCTACATTATAAACTTTGAGAGTGCAAGACCTGCCCCTCTCATCTTGGTATATCTCACAGCAAGTGGCACTGAACATAAGAGATGCTTTTTCTGCTTTGGTTAAATCTTAGACAAAACTCTAAATTCTGCAAAATCTAGTTATCTTTTAACCTCATATTTTACGTACATAATGATCATCTGCCGACCACACTGGTTTTCTTATTATAGTTGAATATATGACTTCTCAGATCCTATCACTGCCTCCTTTACTCTCATCTTATGTAACAACATCTTCATTAGTCATTTTGTCATTTTCTTAGTTTTCTTTACAGTCAGTCATGAGTTCCTTTTCAAAGTTCACCTTGAACTTATTGCTGTGGCCTTGTTTAGAATTATTAGTCATGTATGAAGGGGAAAAGGAATACTGTCATTCAAGTATTATATTCTTGGACACTACTAAAAATTATATAAATTGATGAATTAATAAAATGCTTTTCTGATCATCCTAGCTCTGAAGTTGTTCAAAAATGGTTTTTGAGATGAAAGACTTATGAATCTAAAAAGGTTTAAGTTGAAGGCTGATAACATAAAATCTGTCTTTTTAAAAATTATTATTTCTAAAATCATTAGGTACATGAAGTTTCACATTGGTACTTAATATCCTGGTTCTTTAGCATGAGACTTTCTAGAAAGTTGTGCTTCTATCTTAATAGTCTTCACATTGGATAAATATAGAGCAAAATTTTAAGACATTTAAGATATTTCCTAATCTTTCTTTGAAATAAAAAATACGTATATATTAATAAAAAATAATTTCTATCATTGCTTGTACTCAGATGAAATAATACATTGTATATAAACCATGGTTCCTCTCTGCTGTTTCTCTGCATTTCCTTCTTCCAGGGCACAACCTCACAGATTGGCTTTTTTGCTTATCAAGAGTAAGGCATTCTCATCAATGTCTTGTTAGCAGTCAATAATAAGATCTTCGTTGTTGCTATTTATTTGATTAATTCAAATATAATATGCCAGAATCCCTAATTCTAAAAAGTGATTATCATTCTCATGAAATGTCTTTTGACATTTGTAGAAAACTATCTAACTTCCCTTTTCTGTCCTCTTTAGCTTCAAGTTAAAGGAAGAGTCAGAGATCATTCAATAGGGTAAATTGGGGGAGGACCTCCCCTTGGGGAATAATACTAACAATCAAAATAAGTTACTGGTTCTGAAAATAAAGAGAGCTTACAGAATTGGCTTGTTTCCGGGCTTGATTTATCAGTTCCTTGATCTCAGAGATGTTTTTCTTCAGGTTATCCTCAAGTTCCTTGATGGGTTTCAATTTATCTATCAGCCGATCAGCTTCTTGTTCTAGATTTTTCACAGTGGCATCTGCATCTGCAACTGTACAGAACAAATTAATGTGTGCATACACACACACACACACACACACACACAGTGAAATTAGAATGGTAGTATGTTTAACTAAGCAATTTCATCTTATCCATGTGACAAAGCAAGGCAGTGGCTGCCAAAGCAAAGTGTGTGATGGCAAATGTAGGTATTTTAGTTGAGACTCAAGCAGGCCAGAGGCAGTATTAAAGTTTTTGGCCTTGGAATAAAGCTGAAAATTAGCACTAAAGATAGAAAATTCGATGAACTTAATTCAATGCTTCATTTTTTAGCTTTAGCCAAAAAGCTAATCTTTATAGAATAGAACTTCAGTCATTGAAGAAGGAAGATGAAAGTGTCTTTAAAATGTCACCAAGTCTGTCCAAGCCCCAACTGTTTTTTAATCAGGTTTATCACACAAAATTGGTTTTCTTTCTTTTTCTGTCTTTCTCTGCACATCTTGAACAGAGAAGCTATAAATGTGGCTTAAAGAACATTTTGATGTTGAACAACCCTGAGACTGGAGGGCTATGTTACACTTTAATTAAATCTTTCAAGTTGTGGTTCAATTTCATTTTGAAGAATAGTTGATTATCCTGCACTATATATTAGGTTGAACCATATTAAACTGCTGTTTTTTTAGGTTAAAGAAAAAGATCGAATATTGGCAATTTCAAAAGTTTAAACCCTAAAATAGTTGAAGGTTATCAGTGATCCATAGACTTCAAGTATGTTCTTTTCATAGAGGGCATATAACAAACGGAAAACTAATTATTCTATCTCTATGATGCTGGCAGTCTTATTCAAACTATGTCAGTTATTATCTGATTGAGCATGTATTGTTCCACTTTCTGTCATTGTAATCCTGATGAAAAAGTGAAATTGCTTAAGGTTCAAGGCTGTCTGTGCTAAACCTAATGATCAGCTCTCTGGCTGACACTGCACCACTGAGACCCAACCCTCASCATTGAATCAAATGTGCTCAAATGGAAGTAAATTATTATTTTTGAACTAGGTTTTAGAACTAGGTTTTGAACTCATGCTCAAAAAACTGAATCATATTGTTATTGTGTTTAAAACAACATTAAGACTATTCTTAGCTTTTAACTCCAAAAGCTGCTAGACAAATCCTTGAGTATTTTGTTTCTGAACTGCAGGTTTATGTGGTTCTAAGCCCTTGTTGGATAATTGTGTAGACAACATATCCTGGCTACCCCTTAGTTTTGTGCACTTTAATAAACTATTTGTTCTTTTTCTCTTCTTTTTAATTCTCCAATATTATTCTGATTTTAAAAATTACTCTAGAATTGAGGACCATTGATTTAAATATAGATTCACAAGTAAGAGAAAGAAGGTGTTAAGCAGAGATTACTTAAGCATAGGTCAAAAATAGATCCTTTTCTTCTAAAGTTCCCAGAAACTCACATCAACTGCTTCAAAATGGGATCTGGAGATTTCCTTTCCCCCATTCTCTTCTATCTTGTGAAATAATTAGAGTCATATGGCAACTACCTTCCTGAAGGTCTGAAAAATAAATCATCTCTGATACTGAGTCTGATGCTTTCTTGTACAGTAGTGTTTCAAAACGTTCTCACTTTAGCTTCTGAAGAGAAATTTTGATAAAGTTGATGTTTCTCTAGAAGATTTTATCTAGGTTATAATTTATTAGCCTAGAGTATTTGACACATACTCTTATGTGTCAAATTTCCTCTGTCAGATTGTTATATCTCGGTTAGAAATTTGCCTATTTGTAATTTATTTTTCTTSATTAAACCTATAATTTATTTTTTAATCTTTATTTTCCTAAATATCTCTTGGATGTCTCAGTTCTATTATTTCTGTTGTTTAATTCGTTAACTTTTTCACCTTGTTCTTCATGTCAATTTTAGCTTTTTCTAACCCACTGAGCTGGTTTCTTAAAATTGTTTATTTCAATGCTGGTTTCAATTGCTCTCAATTTGATTTTGATACAATGGATTTTGTTACTATTACATTTCTAGTATTCCTCAGTTTTACTTTTAACTTTAAAATATGAGAGTTCGAGAGAATATGTTTATATCATAGTAGTTGCTCATTTATTAAGATCTCATTTTGGTGCTTCTTCAAATACAGTTCTTGGGCTGGGATGTGGCTCAAGCRGTAGCGCGCTCGCCTGGCATGCGTGCGGCCCGGGTTCGATCCTCAGCACCACATACCAACAAAGATATTGTGTCCGCCGAGAACTAAAAAATAAATATTAAAAAAAAATTCTCTCTCTCTATCTCTCTCTCTCCTCTCTCACTCTCTCTTTAAAAAAAATACAGTTCTTTAGAAGTTGAGAAGAATTACTTATAAGGATGGGGAATAGAATATTTGTTACCAACAACAAAGACCTAATGGTGTATTTTAATCTGCTGCAAGTAAGTCATTTGAGCTTCTGTGGCTGAATTTTGTTATTATAATTGCCTTCTATATGTGAAGGAATTCAGTTTTACATGTACCTACTATCCTTATATAAAGGAAGATTCTGTGTGTGTGTGTGTGTGTGTGTGTGTGTGTGTGTGTGTATCTAGCATTAATATGATGAGAGTGGAAAGAACAGCTATGTAAAGTTCAAAACAGCACAAAACATGGTCACATGCAAAGCTAAAGCTTTTGTGATAGGCAGTGAAGCATAAAAGTTGGTAAAAAGTGCCCAAGTAAACATATACATACTGATTTCTGCAGGTAATTTCATATGGAAGTAAAACAAAAAGAAATTAGAAAATTCATGAGAACATATTTTGTATTGATATTAACAAAGTAGTGACATCACAAACAACGTTGCTTTCCAGGACGGGTACTARTTACAAATGCACCCTATTTTACATCAAATGAGTGTTATGAAATAAAAAGTATACAACGATATGCCATTTAGCAGACTCTTGTTCATATTAAAAGAACTGTTCCTGTCATGTTTAAAAAAGATATAAAACACAAAATTTAATTAATATTTGCAGATAATTATTTCTCTTAGCAGATAATGTAAAAGAAAATGTGAGGTGTATTATCAAAAGCCACTAGTTGAGAATCAATCTAAAATAGAATGAACTGATTGATATATTATAAAATGAATCCATAGTAGTATTAACTTAAAATGCATTTTCCCTCATTTTGAGGGAAATGTTATATAGCATGCATCATTATTTAGATCAAATCTTTGACCTGTAGGAGAGGCTATCTCTGGATTTACATTTAAAAAATTGAAAACCTTTCTATCCTCCCATCCTTTTTTTTTTTCCTTTGAAGAAATAGCAATGAATGGGATCTTCTGATTCTTAGCTCTGAAGTTCACATGCCATGTGTCTGTGCTCCTCCTTACTCATGATGGAGTCAGGAGTCTCCTCAAGACCCCCATTCACAGTACTGGCACCATAGTTTCTATTATTCTATTCTTAGCATTTGAGTTGAGCGGATGGTGCTGAAATCAGCACCCTGCCCCATTCAAACATCACCTGGATTGTATGGCACATAACGTCAACCAGAATGTTTTTGTTATTGTACTCTCAAGTGCCTTGCTATTCTGTGGAAATGTTAGTATATAAAGAGGGCAAGTCTCTTGGAGGTGGAAAGTACAAAAGCAKAAGTAACTGTCCTGATAAAAACAACATACTCTAAGATAATGTCTAATCACTTGATAGGAATGAAAAAAAAAAATCCATGTCAATGTTTATAGACTATATTTAACTACAAATATAAATTAAACTGGATACATCCTTCTTTCCTAGAAATGCTTAATAATTAAATCTAAATAATAAAATATTAAAATTTTTAAATGTTCACACAGTTCAAGCTAATATGATTTTCATTCCTTGTTCTAACAGGCCTGAGAAATTAGCCTGCTCCTCAAGCTCTATGCTTCATGAAACTCGGCTAGCTCTGAATGTAGAGTTTCCTGAAAACAACTGTATTTTCAGTTACTCTAATAGATTTAAAAAGTATTTAGCATGTCTACATCAAATATCATACAGACTTTGGGAAGTCCCAATCTCCTCTTGATTGGACAAAATCTAGATGAAAAAAGGCACCAGGGCAGAGTTGGGAGACTTGGATTCTTTGGTTCTTGAAGGGCAGGGCACTCCATCTACTGTGCCCAGACTAGGATTGAGAGGGCAGACTACAGCACCATGAGAGTCTTCCCAGCTCTACCATTTGAGTTGAGGATACTACAGTGTGAAGAAATAAATCACATTATCGCAGTGAAAAAAAAGGAGATCTTACTGTTCTTGGAAGGATCTTTTATCACCGCATTCGTTTTGGCCACGCTATCTGCCAGTTTATTGTAATTTTGCTTCAGGCCATCCAGGTTCTGGTGGAGCTCTTTAATCTGAGCCAGTACATCTTTGGCGGTGTCGTTGGCTTGTCTGGCTTTGTCCTTAACAGCTTGCAGTTTAGCCGCTGTGTCTGTCAAGCAGAAGAAGGTATGAAAGGCAAAACAATGGGTCTGGAGCTGGTGGTTTAATCCATGCTTGTCAAAGCTAGGCTGCGGCTGGCTGACCTCAGGGACACATTTACAAAGGGGAGAGGATGAACTCTGTCTCATTTGGTTGTAGCAAATGAAGCAAATTTTTTAGCTAAATTAAATTTTCTCAGGGACCTTTGCTATGAATACCTGATTAGCTTTTAATATAGTAAAGTGATTATTCTAAATGTTCATTGTATAAGGGCATATTGTGATTTGCTGCTGAACATATTAAAAAGAGAAATTYATCCACGTGAGTCATATAGCTTCATCAAAACCAGGCTTAAGTTTTAATCTGTATTTCCAGAGGGGAGAAATGAATGTGTTTCATTTTTAGGATAGAGAGACTTTTTCAGGAATGCAAGATCATGCATTTGTGTATATTTTTTATGTTGTCAKCACTAAAARAAAATTTTTTTTRATGGAATTGGAAATTGACCCAGGGGTGCTTTRCTACCKGAGCTGCATCCCTARTCCTTTTTATTTTTTATATTGATGCAGGGTCCTGCTAAGTTGCCCAGGCTGGCCTCAAACTTACAATCCTTTTGCTGCRAACTCCCATGTTGCTGAGATTACAGCTGTGTACCATCCCACCCTGCTCTGAGCACTGGAWATTTTTTAGGCACTTATTACTGCAGAAACAACCTGAAATTTTGAAAAGCTACTTTATAGTATTTTAGTGTTAAAGTAAAAACCATTTAAACTTTAATATTTCCTATGTTGTATAAATTTGTGTATTTATTTTCTGATCATAATTTATACAATAAAACATATTGAACATATGAATGCACATAGTGTGGGTTAGTGCTTAAGACCACAGGCTCTGAAGTAGAACATCAAGGTTCATATATCATAAATGTTACTTAAACAATGTCTTTCAGTATCTCTTGTCTCAGTTTCTCACTTGGAAAGTGAGATTATAAATGCTATTCACATTGTCAAATTAATATAAAGGATTAGATACATGTAACATTGGCATATTGTGTAAACACTCAATAAATGTTTATGACTTTTATTATTATTGTATCATGTGACTAAAATATAAATATAATATCCCTAAAAGAATATGTGCTTTCATAATACCTAGATATAATTTAAATAGTTCTAAAGATAGAGAGATAATATGGGCATGGTTTGACCACCAATGCTTTTGAAAGCTAGAACAGCTAAGGAGTTGAATTTTGCGAGCACAGATTTATGGAAGGGCAATAGACTCTCATCTAAGATGGTAGGTACTGTAATAAACTGAGATGTTGTTGTAGTACATCGAGATTGTAGAGAATAGTATCTATATGATTTTATTCTTTCCCACTAATACAAGATTTCTTGGGCTGAAACATGGAAGACAATTTAATAATTATGTGTCTATATCTTTCTTTCTATAACATTCCTCTAGATGCCAAATAAAGGCAATAAAAGATAAATAACATCGTAATGTTAAATGTGACTTTGTTTCTCATTCTTAAAAGGAACAATTCATAGGTAAGAAAACCAGCATCTAATTTCCTGACATTAGTACAAGTGAAATGTTAGAAGAATGGTGAAAGTGAACTATGTTCTCCAAAAGTTCAGGTAAAATGACAAATGTGCAGTGTCCTGAATGCATACCATTTGGAATGGCRGATAACTTTCCCAAAGTGTCATTCAAAGCTCTCAGGAGATCACMATTTCTGTCTTCAGCATTCTCTAACCTGGTTGTCAAATCATTTAGATGGTCATTATTTTCTGTGAATAGGGAAAAACAAAAAAAGAAAAAAAAACAATTTTAATTGCCTATGAGCTTATTCTTGGATGTACAATTTCAGGTTATTCAATACAAAATTAATTAAAAAAACACCTCAGTGTAATTAGTTTATTGTCATCTATCCACAAATATGTTTCCAATCAAATATAAAATACATGAATTTACAATCACTTGATGTTTTAGCATGTTTAATGATTATATTTTCTTCTTGATATCCAACATCCTTCTGATTTAATTTGATGGCTTCCTATGGATAAATACCCTGTAAGAGTCAGTCTTTTGATGCATTTGTAATGTTACTCTCTTGATATCATTCCTCTTATTTTCACTTACTCAAAAATTTTTATTACCCAAATGGATCACAGATTTGCTTTTTAAGATTTCATATATGATTGTTAAACAGAATCTCTTATTTTAGTAAATRCTACTATTAGTATTTATTTGAAACAGATAAAAATCAAAAGAAGGAAAAAACAACTCATATTTGATATGACTCTAATTTTTCATACAGAAAGTGGTATTTTAAAAAATTGCCTCAAATGGACTTTGTATAGGTAGGTCTTCTTGGTATTTTAGAATATGCTTTATTTAACACTGAAAATATGATATACAAATGTTAACTCAATAATATCAGTGTAAATTTTCCAGCTTCTTTCTGCTAGTTTTTAACATTTTCTAGATATTCCATTAGTTTATATTGTAGTAATAATTAAGCATTTTAGAATTTCCATGTTAAAAACATAAAAAAAGTGAAAACTATGAAGTCTTTTGGGGGAAAGAAAAAATAGATTCAATTTGTTTATATGAAATGTCAGTTTAGAAATCTTACTTCATTATGCATCAAACTGTAAGTATATCTAAAGACTGAAATGGAGTGAATCATCTGTCTCCTTCTCTTATTAGTGAACCATGGAATGAAAAACAAAATGTGTAAAATACTATGCTTCTCAAAATATTATTTATTTCTACTRACTCGATAAAGCAGACCATTTCTTGATGGTATTTTTAGTAGCTTATTATGTCATCATATTTGTTTCCTGRGGTGATGTATGCTAATTATTTAAATTAGCTACACAGAATGCAAAAATGTAAATAAGTCTCCATATAAAGCGGGAAACTGAAAAAAGAAAAAAAAAATATACCAAGACAAGAAAGTACCCCTGTCTCTCCTGTACAGGACTGGCCAATATTTAGTAATAGACATGGCCAATGGGCAATGAGTGAGTGCCCTGGACCCCATGTTGTGCTTGTCATTTTTTGTGGGTTGTTTTACTTCATCCTTACAATAACTTCACAAAAACCAGGGATGAGAAGAGCAGGCTCATTGGGTAATAATGCTCCTTCCACCTCCACTCCTGCCCCCAACCTTTTTTTCTTCTCTTTTCCCCTCCCTCTCCTTTCTCTTTTATTGTCTGAAAACATTGGTCATGGTTATAGAAAATCACAGGAGACTTACACAAACATTGTCCCTATGCAAAGGTGACAGGTAATATATACAGTGTTCCATGTTTTTGAGGATAATGGGTAAAATATAGGAATAGGTAGTTCACAACAAAATAAAAAGAAGGAATTGTCAAAATAAAACAAAGCACAATATTATCATTAAAAAACTGTAAAGCAAATGAAAAACAAGGTGTCATTTCTCATCTTCCAGATTGGGAAAAGTTAAATTTCTGAAATTATCAGGTGAGAATTGATGCTATTGTTTTAAGTGCAATTTAATTAAATATTAGAGTTTTAAATAGACATGTGTTTGGTATGGCAGTTCTACTGACAGGAATTTATCCTATGATATATTTGTAAAGTCATATCAATGTTTATATTCTGGGATATATATTAGATCTTTATTTGTCACAGCAAAAAAAAAAAAGAATTTTAAATTTCCACTATGAGAGTATTGTCTATATTAGTTCAGCATATCCTACAATGGTATGTAGGAAGCAAACTTTAACAAGAATTAGAAGAGTAAATGTGGGTATAAAATGATCTTTAACACCTTTCCTGAAAATGGTGGTTGGTGGGAGATAGGTTGTGACAAATATACCCAAAACCATTGACTGTGCTCATAGTTTATAGAATTTTATAATTGCCTGTATTAATAAAATGATTTTCTCTGTGCATATATTTCTCTTGCTTTATTTAGAAAAAAATACTTAAGCAAACTGAATTGAGGAAGAATGCCATTTGTCATCTTAGTGTTATCTGCCCATGTCAGGACTCTTGTTTTTACCATTTTTCTGGCACCCAGAGTGGGCAGACCAGGAGATGATATGTTCCTCAGAATAGAACCAGACTGTCTTGATGTGATTGTGTGCCCGCCCCTGCCAGAGGAAGTGCATCTGGTTCATCGGAGATGCTCCACTGGCAGGCAGGCCACTTGCAGCTGGGTAATAATCCTGGCCTTCACTGTCCTTCCTCTAGGAGGAACAGCAAAGGGGAAGGAAGACAGAGGATTCTGAACTCTCAATGTTCTGAATGTGAAGAGTAGTAGACATGTTAATTAGAGCTACATCCCACTTCATACAAAGGGTTTATAGGCAGACTGATTAAACCATTGTCATACTACACATAAAACCATGATTATATCACAGATTATACTAATGTATGTACAAATGTTGTTTAAAGTGTCTGCCAAAGACTTGATATTACAGAAAAACAAAGCATAAAATAATAGGGCAGAATATGGTTCTAAAACATCAATATGTCTGTTTCAGTCACTAATGTATTATTATTTCCAATTCTAGTCCCTCTAAATATGTTTTGCAAGTGATTTAATTTTCTCCTCTGTCAATCACAATTCATCTCTCTTTTAATACTTCTGTTATTTTCACTGCTTGTTCTAAAATAAAATCTTTGGATAGATTACCAAAAAGTATACTTTTGGAAATAAAGCAGTCTGATTATGACTGTGATTTCTACACAAATTCCTTGAGAATACAAGGCTGCTCTTTTAATAATAACTTGGAAGTCTTCATCAATTACGGACATAGAACTGTAGAAATTTCAATTCCCAGCTTCTTGATTGGATTTGATTTTTAAAATAATGAAGTATTCAAATGCTCTGGCAAGCAAGATATTCACATACAGGGAAAAATCATCAATTTAAAGGGCATCACCAAATTTATACCATTTTCTGCATTCTGATAGCAAATGCTAGTGGAACAATCAGGCCAATTATTCAGAAGAGAGAATGACCTGAAGATTATTTTTACTGCTGTCCTTCAAATTTCAAAGCAATAATTTTTATCTATTTATGTGCTGGAAAATTAAAATGAATATGTTCTGACCCTATTCTGATTTTTATGTCTTAGAGATCTGACTCTGATTCTTTCTTAATTTATCTTTTCTTATACTGATAATTTATTTCTTAAGTAGTTTCTAGAACTTCTGATACAAAGCCTAAACATTTTGTATCTCTGGAAATAGCATTGGGTGAGTAGGTAGAAGTTTACAAAAAAAGAATGATAGATTTTTAAATGGAAACTAACAAAACCTACAGCAAAGAAAAAAAATTAGATTAAGAAGTCTTTCAGTATTGGTTTCAAGGGAAAATAGATAAGATACAGTGTACTCATAACTCAAAAATATAAGGAAGAATGCTTGTGGTTGGTTTGAATTTTAACATGACTGAAACAACATAATTATTGAGAGTTAAAAGAAATTCTAACATAATTCTTTACTTTCAATTTCTAGAGAGCAAGAAAAGAATTCAATTTATTATCTTCAGCTACATTTTGTAGGATTTTGTCTCCGTACTTTTTGCTGAAACAACAACAATGGCAGTAGCCCTGCCAGTCCATCTTCTCTCTAAAGTCCTCATTCATTACACCTCAAAGACTACATATGTGTACTTCTTTAACTATGGCTCTCCTATGCTTACCCTGTCATCACCCTTCAGAAGACAAAGGTTGTTAAGAAATGGGTGTGGCAAAGATAAGGCTAATAAATCAAGGGAGGAGACAAAGCAGAGCAGCCAGGATAGACTGTGAATGTGTCTGATGACATGATTTCCTTCTCATGCACAACCAGAAGTACTACAAGGCAGTCATATCCCTACTAAAAAGCATTAGAGTTCAAAGTCACTTTCACTGTCCATAAACATTTACTCATATGCCATGTTCCTGGCATGGTGGTAAATATGAATCACAGTGCAGTTAAATCAGAACTGGTGACACGGATCTATGCTATATTCCATCTCAAGAAAACAACCAACCAACCAACAAATAACCCAATTAACTAAATGGGCTAAGGAACTGAACAGACACTTCACAGAAGAAAAAATACAATTGATCAACAAATATATGAAAAAATGTTCAACACCTCTAGCAATTAGGAAATACGAATAAAACTAAGATTTCATTTCATTGCAGTCAGAATGGCAATTATCAAGAATGTAAGCAATAACAAATGTTGGTGAGGATGTCGGGGGGAAAAGTACACTCCTACACTGCTGGTGGGACTGCAAATTGGTGCAAACACTCTGGATAGCAGTATGGAGATTCCCCAGAAAACTAGGAATGGAACCATCATTTGACTCAGCTRTCCCACTCCTCGATTGATATCTAAAGGACTTAAAATCAGTATATGAAGGTGATGTAGCCATATCAACGTTTATAGCAGCTGAATTCACAATAGCTAAACTATGAAACCAATCTAGGTTCCCTTCAACAGATGCATAGATAAAGAAAATGTGAGATAGATACACACACACACACACAATGGCATATTACTCAGCCTTAAAGAAGAATTAAATTATGACATTTTCTGGTAAATGAATGGAATTGGAGAATATCATGCTAAGCAAAATAAGTCAATCCCCCCAAAGAAAAGCCTGAATGTTTTCTCTGATATGTGGATGCTAATTCACAATAAGATGGGGTGGCTAGGGAAGAATAGAGGTACTCTGGATTAGACAGAGGAGAGTTAAAGGGTGTGGGAATAGGAAGGATAATAAAATGAACTGGAAATATGACCCTATATG